CTGGAACACACTCTTCTTGCCAGTCTATCACCACCATTGTGTCTCCCTCGCAATCATTGCCCAGGGCCGAGAATCGGAAACTTGGTGATCTGACTGTGGTCCATGCTGACCTACCAAGTTCAGGAACTCCATGCTCCCTGAATCGGAAACTTTGACGCCACAGAGTGATCCGACAGCTATCAATACCATCTTTCTAGCGCCCTCTGCCAGACACCCTACTGCCTTGCTGAAACCTTATATACAATTTCATTTTAGTTCTTAATTCTTATAGGATGAAGGTTCTATTTGTTGGTTTGCGCACATACTGTCCTCCTTCCTGTTATTCTATTCTTCTCTGCTTCTATGGATTTCATGATGGTAAGGGGTTATTTGTCAAGGATTTTTTTTTTTTTTTTTTTTTTGCGTATGCTTATTTTGACCCACTCCCACTTTTCATAATTGCCTTTGTCCATTGAGTTGTTTTTCCCCAGAATTTACTAATTTTATCTTCAGGGTTAGCCATCGATAACAAGATGGCATTAGCTTGATTTGTTCACTTTCATTTTTTTTTTTTGTTATTTACATGGTGATTGGTCCACAGATAGACACAATTTTTTGGAATGAAGATCTTAGCATGAGAAGGAAGGATATCATCTCTTTATAAAACAAAAACCAATTTCACACAATTTAGTTGGCCCAAGCTCTACTATGGCCCATGTTCATACACTTTTGCATATTATTATTATTGCTATTTATATAATTAAAAGCACAAAAACTTTCAAAGTTCATTAAGAAAAAATAAGGCTATTTTTTCTTTATGGGTACTGTTTGCAGTTTGATTTTATCCCATATAAGTTTATCATAATCCGCCATTTTCTCATTTTTTGTAATACTATTCATACAAGTTTTATTCCATACAGGAAACAACCACCTATAAGATATTTCTAAAACTCATATGAATATCTATGATAAGTTTCTTCTATACATTTAACTTAACATTAAACAAATATTTCGTAGATCGGTTATTAAATATATAATTATTAACTAAAGCTGCTTTATTTCAATGTTTATTTTTAAATATTATGAACAATATTTAATTATTCTGTTAATATTGACCAAAATTATATTATTGTTAACTAAAATATTTAACTGGTCTAATCATACATTACTTTCTAAAATTTGATTTTATCATTATACCACACATTATAAAAGATTTATGCAATAAAGTTCTACAGTAGTTCTTTATCTCCTACATCTAGTTTTACCATAAAATCTTGATTAGTTAACTTTGACATAACAATTTCATCACACATTACTTTCTAAAATTTGATTTTATCATTAGACCCCATATTATGAAATATTTATCTAACAACATTCAATAACAGTTACATAAATTAAAAATTCATCAATGTTACTTGCTATGACTTGATTTTTATCATTATTAGATCACACATTATGAAAATTTTATGTAATAACGTTCTATAACTTTTACATGAGTTATGCTTAATGATTGAGACACTACGTAAAGTTTATAGACAAATAATCATTTATGTATCAATAAAAAATATATTTAAGTTTTTTTATAATGATTAATTGAACACTACATAAATCTTATGTATAAATAGTTATTTACTATCTATCACTTAAACAAAAGAATGGCATATGCTATTCTTAATAATTAAGACATTAAGTGAAACTTACATATGTATCACTTATTACAAAAGAATGACGTATCCTATCTGAATGACTTATTCGTAAACAAAAGAATGATGTATCTTATCTAAATAATTTTCTTAATTATTTGACTTAAACTAAATCATTAATTTTTTTTACCGCGACGGAGCTCGAATAAGAAAACTATTAATATATAATAATACAAGGACCAAGAACTATAACATGTCATTAAGAAAATTCAAGTTATTGCCTCGACTATCTCCGACCAACGGGTCGGGTTATAAGCTAGTTCATCATCATATATCAACGTATAGCTCATTCACCGCATCACATATCAGCGTATTAGCTAGGACCGTTTCATGACCCAAAAACCATCGGTCTATCGTAATAGTTTAGTCTTTAGATATGAGTTACAATAGAATTGTCATTCTGTTGTACCTTTATACGTCCATGATTTTCCGGCTTGCTCTTCTCCTTTACACAACAATTTAGCTGGAGACATTTAATATGGTCAATGGACTATAACCAATCAGTTTACTTCCATTTATATAATGAAAAATAATTGATATGTCAGAAGCACTTCTACTATACTTTAAATAATTGGTTTTTTTAAAATACAACTTGAAGTTGTATCATAACGTTAAATGTACAAATGAAGTTATACCATAAGGGAGTTTGAACCTTTATGTTTTATACAACTTAAAATTGTACCATATCACAGATGTAAAACTTTACCTTGTACCATAAAAGAATTTATACAAAAGAGTATAGGTACAACCTCAGATTTTACCATAACGTTATTGATACAACTTCAAAGTGTACCATAAAGGCAAAAACTAAAATACCAATACTTTATAGTATTGTAAAACTTCTCATGACGATGACACTACGTACCATTTTCCCTTCTAACCACATTAAATTACGGTTCTTATAGCCATCTCAATCCTACTTCTCTTCCATCCTCCCCTAAAAAAAATGTCCCGAAATTTCCTGGACATAAGTAGGCGCATTGAGCCTTCATGTTCTCCTCGGTTTCCCATCTAGCCATTGGCGGAGCCATATTGCTTGATGTGGGGTGAGTGGACTTGGGAGCGGATCAGGTCAGTAACTCTTATGGTGAGTAACCATCAACAATCTGTTCACATCCGCATGACATCAGCATACCCTCTCTCCTGCAAGGTTTTTTATCTTTTCCCTTTTACTCTTTAATGGACGATTGCTCTCTCGTTTTAAGTCGAAATTTAAATTTTTTTGCACAGATAAATCAGATTAAATGTTCTCTTTAAAATGATATTCATTTTGATATATTTTGAGTACAAAAAAATTTTGAATAATTTTTTACCAGTCATTACCATATGGTATGCTCATATTTAATACCATATGGTAAGAAAGCGTACCATGATGGTGTGAACATACCAATATGGTAAGAAGGTTGAATACATGATAGTAGTAGTATATTAACTGTCATTTACGACTTTCATCATTGTTTATCACAAGTTACCACCCACATACCATAGTGGTAAAGTATGGTAATTTTTGGTCCAGTTTTTTTTTCACCCAGAAATTTGTAGATCCAATAGATCATGATGAACTCGTTCATTCTGAGCAAACGTTTTCAAAATCGACTTAAAACGAAAAAATTACCATATAGTATTTAGTTGGTAAAATAAAAAGTTTCTCAAAATATATTGAAAATTGATCTCATTTTATAGAACACAATGAATTCGTTCCATGTGTGCAAAAAAAAAAATTAAAATCCAAGTTAAAACGAAGAAGATAAGAACCGATTATGAAAAGTAGGGAAAATAAAATGTCTTTAATTGACAACCCTTAAATCTGAATTTTCTTGGCCCACTTAAATCTAAAGGTCCAGATTTAGTTACTACCGACCCTATCTTAAGCTAGTGGACCCCACTTGGAAAGGAAACTTAAGCTATAAAAAATGGAATACAAGGGGAACAGTTGGGGGATTTGACCCTTGAACCCCACATCTGCAAAGAGCTAGCTTAACCACCGAGACATTCTGCTTCTTTTTCCATTTTGGCCCCACTAATTTTTTTTCTTGGCTACGGCAATGTATCTAGCTTTGTCCTTGTGATTTCTATAAAATTACTTTAATCAGTCCATTTGTATGCTACCATTTATAGTTCCTTGAGCTTTCAATGTCTAATCTCCATCAACTCTTCTATAAAGCTATAATCAATCAAGTTGCAACCCGGAAATGGAGTTTCTCTCTCCCTCTCTAAGTCGGTCAGTTTCTCTCTCGCCATACCTTCAAGCTCAATACCTTAGAGCCTCTACAGCTACCATTCATGGAGCCTTCATTATCCCCAATTCAAGCCTCTACCGATCAATTAAGAGGAAGTCAGAGGATCAAGGGGGAGCTCAGGAGAAGATACGCAGCATTAAAAAGGATTCATCTCAACCTACACTCACGTCCAATGGGAGGGAGGGAAGTACAGGGGAGGAGATCGGAGGAACCGCCAATCCGCCGCCTAAACCCTTGAGAAGGGGTCAATCAGCCAGCAGAGGAGTACAGCGGGGGCTGCTAAGAAGGTTGAATACATGATAGTAGGAGTATATTAACTGTCATTTACGACTTCCATCATTGTTTACCACAAGTTACCACCCACATACTATAGTGGTAAAGTATGGTAATTTTTGGTCCAGTATTTTTTTCACCCAGAAATTTGTAGATCCAATACATCATGATGAACTCGTTCATTCTGAGCAAACGTTTTCAAAATCGACTTAAAACGAAAAAATTACCATATAGTATTTAGTTGGTAAAATAAAAAGTTTCTCAAAATATATTGAAAATTGATCTCATTTTATAGAACACAACGAATTCGTTCCATGTGTGCAAAAAAAATAAATTGAAATCCAAGTTAAAACGAAGAAGATAAGAACCGATTATGAAAAGTAGGGAAAATAAAATGTCTTTAATTGACAACCCTTAAATCTGAATTTTCTTGGCCCACTTAAATCTAAAGGTCCAGATTTAGTTACTACTGACCCTATCTTAAGCTAGTGGACCCCACTTGTAAAGGAAACTTAAGCTATAAAAAATGGAATACAAGGGGAACAGTTGGGGGATTTGACCCTTGAACCCCACATCTGCAAAGAGCTAGCTTAACCACCGAGACATTCTGCTTCTTTTTCCATTTTGGCCCCACTAATTTTTTTTCTTGGCTACGGCAATGTATCTAGCTTTGTCCTTGTGATTTCTTCAAAATTACTTTAATCAATCCATTTGTATGCTACCATTTATAGTTCCTTGAGCTTTCAATGTCTAATCTCCATGAACTCTTCTATAAAGCTATAATCAATCAAGTTGCAACCCGGAAATGGAGTTTCTCTCTCCCTCTCTAAGTCGGTCAGTTTCTCTCTCGCCATACCTTCAAGCTCAATACCTTAGAGCCTCTACAGCTACCATTCATGGAGCCTTCATTATCCCCAATTCAAGCCTCTACCGATCAATTAAGAGGAAGTTAGAGGATCAAGGGGGAGCTCAGGAGAAGATACGCATAATTAAAGAGGAGTCATCTCAACCTACGCTCACATCCAATGGGAGGGAGGGAAGTACAGGGGAGGAGATCGGTGGAACCGCCAATCCGCCGCCTAAATTACCTGAGAAGGGGTCAATCAGCCAGGAGAGGAGTAAAGCGGGGGCTGCTATAGGAGATCCGGGTATTAAATATTGGAAGGTAAGGGAAGCAAATAGTTATGGAACCCCTCGTGCGATTTCCCTATGGCTTAGAGCAACAGAAAGAATTTACTGCCACAGAGCACCTAAGGCAGGGAGAGGGTTCTACCTGGCAATGATTGGGCCTGACGGCCACCTACCATTGAAGCAAGAGTCTGCAGGGCTGAACCATGCAAGAAATTAATACATTGACCAAACCTAGAAGCTTCGATCTTCAAGTAAGGTGCAGGGTGAAAGATAGCGTGTCACTAGAATGAGTAACCCGGCTGATAGCTGCTGCCATAAATGGCTAATTCAAGGTAAACAGGGAAGAGGGAGTGAAGGAGAGGGACTATGGGGATGGCATTCAATGCACAGAGCATTAACTGCCCCAGAGAGATCTTCCCCTCAACCGTCCAGAGCAGAATTGCCCTATATAAGGAAGGCATAAGATGGAGGTCCAACACAATCCACTTACAAGAGCAGAAGCATAGAAAGAAAATACCAAAGATCCATATCTGTCACAGAAAACACCCATTTGCCCAAAAACTCGATTTGGAGGAGGAGAGGAAAAATGGAGCCACACACTAAGAGCCTGAAGGGAGAGAAAAGCCATCTGATCCTGAACGTGAGGCCAACCATTGTAGGAGCCAGAGGAAGTGGCATGGCAATGTTGCTCGGCAAATGGATCACCGATGCCAGCATTAGTCTCCCAAAAGCAAAGAATGCTCCTGTCAACAAATGGAGAGCTTATGGTGATGCATGATCTTACACAATCCCTTAAAGATGAGGAGGCAGTCCAGGCAGTTGCGGCGATCATCTTCCCCCAATTCCACTGCATTGATCAATCGAACTTTGACTTCAGAGGCTGGCTTAAATTCATCAGAGCCAAGTTGGAGGTGAGCATCGATGACCCTATCCCTATCGGCTTCGAGTATCCGGTGGGGGAGAGATCGATTTGGGTGAGCTTCAAATACGAAAGGATCGTGGATCTATGCTATTTCTGCGGACGGCTCGGTCACCTCATCCATAATTGCTGGGAAAGGGAAGACAATAGAAGGAAAGGGCTGTGCACTGACCCATCGGAGGTCTATACCGATGCTCTTAGAGCCGGCCATGATTCACCGGCAAACACCCCTCCGGCGTCGTTCAGAGAAAATCTGGCAAATTCATGCCGCCTGACAGGTCAGAGCTCAGGGAGACAGCAGATCCGCGGTACCCGAGGGGAATCTTCCCAAGTCACACTGGCAATCATCCCATTACAGGGTCCTTTCCCATACCCTCCTGGGTATGCCATCCTTCCGAGCTCTGGGAGAGGGTCAGACTGGGTCTATAGAGGATAGGGAGGGAACCCCACACCTACTCTGAAAACAGCCTTTCTGGAAATCGAAATGGAAGCAACGACAAGAGCGATGCAGAAGAGCCTCGATCTGGGTGGAAGAGAAGCCAACCGCGACAAGATGGCGGGCCTGTTTGAAATGGGCCAGTACCTTACTCTGGCAAGCCCATCCTACACACCAACTGATGTGTCCCTCAGCCCAGCCACGATGGACCAGCACAACCATGTGGAAACTAATCAAGCCTATACCCAAGGCCCAGTAGCGGTCTCTGTTGCAGCTGCGAGTGAGGAGGGCATGACAAGGCCCGAGAAGAAAAGGAAGCCCAAAGCCCGAGCCAGCCTTTCAAGCCCGACGGAGCAACAGGAGACACCCACTAACCTATCTTTTGATTCTCTGTCCTTTGTTCCAGGCGAGAATAGGAGAATTAATCAACGAAGGAAGCACAACATCAGAAGGAAGAGCCTGGCAGAAATCACATCAGAAGGATGCCAATCCGGAGAAGGGGAGTATGTTGGTCCAGGGAGAGAATTCGGCCCTTCGGTGCTTTTTCTTATGGAAATAAGGAAGGATGATGCCTTCATGGAAGTTAGGAGAAGAGCAATGAAGTTTGATCAGTCGGAGTATGTTGGTCCAGGGAGAGAAGGAAGTGGATTGGCTCTCTGGTGGAAAGATGATGTTGATGTTTGTGTATTAGAGTCGTTTAAGTCCTTCATGGACACTAGCATTAGTAGGAATGGGGTTAAGTTTTTTTGCACCTTTGTCCATGCTCCTACCATGGTGGTAGAGAGGAATGCCCTTTGGGATCGACTTACGAGTCTCAGGGCGAATCAGGAAGATAGTTGGCTTATTGTAGGTGACCTAAATGTCGCCATCTACCCGTTTGAAAAGCAGGGACGTTGTCCCTTAAGAAATGAAAACGTTAATCCCTTCAAGTACTTCATTGAAAGGAATGCTCTTCTGGATCTCGGTTTCTCGGGTATAACATTCACCTGGAGCAATAAGCAACAAGGTGACAACTTGATCAGGGAAAGGCTTGATAGAGCACTTTGCTCAACCTCGTGGATAACAGATTTCGAAGAGGACATAGCTTACCACGAAGATTTTGTGGAATCGGATCACTGCCCGATTAGGGTTGATCTCCATCCCCGTGGTCGCAGCACCTGTGTTCCCTTCAGGTTTGACAAAAGATGGCGTGAGAGTGAAGAATGCTGCCAGATTGTTAGCAATCGGTGGGACAGGGGGGCAATGTTCAAGAAATCCTTATGGATTGTCAAAATGACCCGAGAAACTGGGCAAGGTAAGATAGGAAAAATAAGCAGAAGAGAGAAAAAGAAATAAGACAACGGCTTCAGTTGATACATGGGACAAACAGGTCAGCCTTACTTGTTAATGAAGAAAAGCTTCTCCAGCTCGAACTTGAGATCTTATGGAGCTCAGAAGAGAGTTTTTGGGCACAGAGGTCAAGGATCTCATGGCTGCAGGAAGGAGACCAGAACTCAGGCTTCTTCCACGCAAGCACAATTCGAAGGAAGAATCAGAATCGTATCCTGAAGCTCAAGGATTTGGATGGGAACTGGATCACTAGCACTGGTGAGCTTGGGGTTCATGCCAATGACTTTTACCAAGAACTTTTTAAGAGTAGGAATGGGCAGCTGGATCCGAGCATCCTGGAGGGCTTCCCAGAATTGGTGACTGGGGAAGCAAACCTTAGTCTCTGTGCTCCAGTTGAAAAAGAAGAGATAAGGAAGGCAGTTTTCCAGCTTGGAGCTAACAAAGCCCCTTGCCCTGATGGCTACCCAGGCTTATTTTTCCGGAAATATTGGAACACAGTGGGGGATATTTTCAGCCAGGAAGTTTCTAACTTCTTCATTTCAGGTACAATGCCTGATAAATGGAATGATACGTTTATCACCATCATTCCAAAGGTGGAAGCCCTCGAGGTGATTGGCCAATTCAGACCCATCAACTGCTGTAACTTCAGGTATAAAGTCATCACCAAGATCATGACAAACAGGCTTCAACCCTGGTCAATGAATTGCAAGCAGCTTTCAGGGGGAAGACAGATTCAAGACAATATCATTATTGTCCATGAAGTTCTCAACCACCTTAAGAAGAACAAAACTGGAAGCAAAAAGGAGATGATGATGAAACTGGATATGAGGAAAGCCTATGACCTGGTTGAATGGGATCTACTTATCAATCTCCTGAGAGCCTATGGCTTTAGCGATGTATGGTGTGGATGGGTTCATTCGTACATTTCTAATGTGAGCTTCAGATTATTGTTGAATGGAGAGCCCTCTCTGGAATTCAAGCCTTCCAGAGGTATTCGGCAGGGAGACTCCTTGTCCCTCCTACTCTTCATTCTTTTGTCAAATGCCCTCTCTTTCCTTATTGAAAAAGCTGTGCTAAGGAAGGACATCAAAGGGATCAAGATTAATCGATCATGCCCTAACTTGTCTCATTGCCTCTTTTCCGATGATACGATTATTTTTGGGGAAGCCTCATCAGAAGAGGCAGGGAAGATACTGGAAATTCTGAAGGATTATGGCGCTGTTACTGGTCAAGAGGTGAATAAGGATAAATCATCGTTTTTCTTTGGTGCCAATGTCACCAGAGAGGATCAGACAAGAATTATCATGGAGTCTGGTTTTGCAGTCACTAATTGTCACTCCTCTTATCTCGGAATTCCCACAGAATGGGGCAGATCTAAGAAGGAGACCTTCAACTTCCTCATTCACCGAATGGAAAAAAGAGGTGAGGCCTGGAAGAGCCTCCTTCTTTCACCAGGTGGGAAGGAAGTCCTTCTCAAAGCTGTGTTCCAAGCAGTGCCCTCCTACATTATGTGCCTCTTCCTCCTTCCAAGATCAACCACGAACAAGATGGACTCAATGCTTAAGAATTTCTTCTGGGGGGATCGATGTCAAAGAAAACTATCCATTGGAGGGATGGCCATGTGATGTATTCCCCAAAAGAAGAAGGGGGACTTGGATTTCGGCCTTTTCACGTGTTCAACCTTTCTTTGCTTGCCAAGCAAGTCTGGAGAATCCTCACCAACAAAGATGCCCTCTGGGTCAAGGTGCTCAAAAGCATCTACTTCCCTAAGACTGATTTTCTGAATGCAAAGAAGGGAGGGAAGGCATCGTGGATCTGGTCTAGTTTATGCGAGGCTAAATCATGGATGGGACAAGGGATCATTAGAGTCATTGGCAACGGTAGATCGACCAAACTGTTCCAGGACCCCTGGAGAAGAGACCGTGAAGGAGCACTTCTTGACTTCGAATGGCATGACCCGTCCACAGTCGATTGCTGGATCGATGCCATTTCAAGAGAGTGGAACATTGAGCTTATCGCGAGGTTCCTAGGACCCAACGAGTTGAGACAGGTGGCCGCCATCCCCATCGGACCGGAGTCCCTGGAAGATTTCTGGGCTTGGAAATTTACCGACCAGGGTAAGTTTATGGTCAAATCGGCTTTCTTGCACATCCATGATAGAGTCAGGGCGTCACAAGGGCATGGGGATACTGTTTCGGAGGCAACCAAAAAAAAGTGAAAATGGTTATGGAGCTTGTCTATACCACCGAAACTGAAGTTCTTCGTTTGGAGGATCGCTAGAAGAGTTCTCGCCTCAAAAGAGAATCTTTGGACTAGAAAGTGCTCCCCGACCATGTCATGCCCGGTGTGTGCCTTCCCAACAGAATCCGTTCATCACTGCCTCTTCATTTGTCCCCATCCAGCTGAAGGTTGGCATCGGGAATGGCCAGCTATTCCATCTCCTACACCTCTTACACCTATCTTGGAGTGGCTGAGCGCATTGCAGTCTAGGCTCTCGATTGTATCCATCCAGAAGATTATCTTCCTCCTTCGGCATACATGGAAAGATAGAAATGAGCTGGTGTTCAAGAACACCAAACCATGGCCACCATCCATGATTGCGAAAGCATCAGTGGCGCATCTTCAGTGGATCTCCTGCCCCAAGAAGCAGACCACTTCTCCATCTCAGCTCAACCATATACCAAATCCCTCTTCACCACTGCCATGTACTCATGACTTTGAGATACACTGTGACTGATCGTTCTTCAGCGATTCTTAGGAGGCGGCCTATGGCATTGTTGTTTCGAACAACCACGATCAAGTGTGTGACGATAAAGCTGAGAATTTGCACTGTTTTTCCCCACTTGAAGCTGAAGCTAAGGCTCTTTTGGAGGGCGCTTGCCTCGCTGCTAGTCTTCTCTCACCTTGCCGGGTTTTCTCGGACTGCCTGCTACTTGTGCAAGCTGTTCATGAACGTGCGTCGTCATGGCCTTGGCAGGTGGCAGCTTGGATTGGATCTATCAGACAGGTGTTAGATTCAAACCCTCTGATTCGGATATCGCACATTGGTCGTAAGAAAAACTCTAAAGCTAACTGGGTAGCTAGATCGTGTGCCAAAAATGCGTTGCCCCTTGAATGGGTTCATATTCTTGATGTTGTATCCCCCCTTCTGTAACAATTGGCTTTTGCTATAAGGAATGGAAATGTAGTGTCCTCTTGTAAAAAAAAAAAAAACTCTTCTATAAAGCTTGAATCCCCATGTAACTCAATCTATTTCGGTTCCAACACTTGGAAGTGGATCGATCGGTATCTTCAAGGCACACTCGCATGGAAAACATTTTGTATTTATTTCGAAATGGCAACATAAAGTGAGTTTATAGGGCACCAGACCTATTTTAATTTGGCAAAATACATTTTCTTAGTCACAACTTTCATGTTTATGACACTTATAGCCAAATCTTTCGAAATACACAAAATTGCTAGAATTTTTAATGTTGCATGACGAATCTTGCTATTTCCATTATAAACTTTAACGATGTAAAAAATCTGTCAGTTAAGTTAACGGCAAACTGACTAGGATGGCAAATAATCGCACACGTTATCAACAAATTAACCATATTTGTCACGTATGTGCCATGTCATATTTTACTTTAAAAATAATTAAAAAAAATAATAAATCATACATTCATTTCTCCTTCCTCTCCCCCTCCCAACACACGTCTGCTCGACCTCCGCCCATCCCTCCTTCGAGCTCAGCGAGGATACCATTTATAACATTTCGAACCTTTTCCCGACAAAGATATTGTCCGCTTTGGGCCCTCGAACCTCGCGGTTTTCAACTTGGGGTGCAATTCAAGGTGACTTTCCATAAGGTCGCACATCATTGTTGTACTCCACACTAAGCACATTTAACTTCGGAGTTCTCACAAGAACTCCTCCATTACACCCCGAAACACGTCTTGTCAGTTAATGATGGTTTCCTACTTATGAACCATGGATCTCTCCCGTGCATTGTCGATGAGGGATTTCCCGAAGGTGTTACATACACCCCCCCCCCTTGGGACTCATCGTCCTCGTTGAGGTTTGCCCCACCATTGTTCAAAAGGGATGCGGAGAGGCTTTGATACCACTTGTAACATCCCGAACCTTTTCCTGACGAAGATATTGTTCGCTTTGGGCCCTCGAACCTCACGATTTTTGACTTGGGGTGCAATTCAAGGTGACTTCCCATAAGGTCACCCATCCTTGTACTCCACAGTAAGCACGATTAACTTCGGAGTTTGCACAAGAACTCCTCCATTACACCCCAAAACGCGTCTTGTCAGTTAAGGCCAGTTTCCTACTTATGAACCATGGATCTCTTCCGTGCTTTGTCAAGGTGGGATTTTCCTAAGGTGTTGCTGAAACTATAACCTTCCGCTCGTCCAGTTCCCTAAACTCGACAAAACCACTCTAAATACCCTCCGCAAGTAAATCAATTCCAAGAAATTGTAAAAAAAAAATCTATCTTGAACTCTAGAATCAAATCGAACAAAACCCTCTGAAAGAGGACGCTCGGGGGTGATTCTTCTTCGACATCGCCGATTCTTCTTCGATGTGATATCCAAAAGCCCATCAACATACGAGCCGATTGAGAAACCCAGAATGCCCGAAACCTCTAAGATGCCGCCACCATAGAAGGACATACTTCTTGTCGTTGAACGCACAAGCCGATTCGATTTCGGACGACGGCAGTTGATTGATTCATTTGATTTTTTAACGAATTTGCTTTCTTCAATCCATCGATTTGATTGATTCATCAGAATTCGCTTTAGTGAACCGCTTCTTTCGATTTCCTCAATCGTTGATTTGACTTCGTTTTTTTAGATACGATGGGGAGTGATTCTTCATCTTTTACAGTAATATCCCCTGCCTCCGATGGAAAATGACTCGGTAGGATCTTCAAGGTGACGGTGGAACTGGAAGGGGTGGCATTGGCTCCATGGAAGAAGAGGGAGAGGAGAGAGAAGGGGAAGGAAGGGAGAGTGAGAGAGAGGGCGGAGGAAGGTAAAGTGAGAGAGGAGAGAGAAAAGGACGGGTGGTGTTTCTTTTATTTAGTCCATGTGGACAAGTGGGGATGGATTTCGCCAACTCAACATTTTCGTTATTCCAGTCATGATTTTAAGTAACACCGTTAAGAAGATGGATGTAAATGAACATTTTGTGTATTTCTAAAGATTTGGCTATAACTGTCACAAACGTAAAATTTGTAACCGTTGAAGTGCATTTTGCCTTTTAATTTCTCCAAGCTAAGTATGGTGTGTTCGATTTCCACATATGTGTGCGGAGTCAAATCTAATGTTTTCAATCGCTTACTTTTTTCCTCTATCTTCAGAGGCGGAACGGATGCTTCACCAGAAAAGAGAGTAGTTTATGGTTTAGTGGTTAACCGTTACAAATCCGTTGGTGAACCGTTAATAGAACCGTTCATGATATATAATATAAGACTTGTATAGTAAACTAATTTAATAATGAAGTTTTCATTGACCATAATTGATTTCAAATTCATATCACTAGCAAAAAATCTAACAAATCAATCAAACAGTCTCAAAAGAAATAATAATTTTTAAAACTAAAGTTAAAATTTATGGTGCAGTCAGTAGTGGACCATGTAAAGTCGACAATGAGGTTAGAAAATGAGATGAGGAAGCAATAATTCTGGTTTGATGGTCTTAGTTTACGTTAGTGTATTTTTTTTAAAAAAATTTGTGGTTAAAATGTGTGAACTAGTGGACCAGTTAAGCCGTGGTGGTTCATCTGATTTTAAGTTGAATCGTCCAAAACCGTTTGGTCCATCAATAGCCGTCTAAACAATGAACCGGACAGCTATCGTACCTGGTTTGGCGATTCTACTGGCCTGCCCGTTGATAAGATTCGGTTCTTATAACAATGCTTTTTTCATAGACTTATACCTCCTTCATTCAAACTTTGTGTTTTAAAAAAAATTAATAGAAGAAAATGACTCACTATAAGCAACAAAATGGAATCTGTTTTCGGTATGGGGAAAATAATTTACTAGTATTTTTCATATTCTGGACTTCGTTACACGTTCCAAAATTTGTTTTTTCCCCCCTTCTCATAACGTTCCAAAACTTGTTAGACTTTTATCGGTACTTTTACTCAACTCTCATTGATTTCGTACACGCGTAAATAACAAGAACTCTTCGACTTGGGGGACTTCTATAAATTAAACCTTCTTGATTCCTTTCTGCAGTCTACTTTTATCTACTGCAGTTTTGTTTCGTAACTAATACCGGACCCGGAAACGGCTGCCTCTCTTTGTTCGATTTCTTTATTCTTTCAAAGCCTCGTAATCATATTCCATAAATAGCACTAGTGCGACGTTCCAGCTGCATCAGAAAATTAAACACAAGATAGAGAAACTGAAGCCAACTTCAGGAAGAGAGAGACAAGATACAAAATGGACCACTCATCATCATCATTAATGTTGTCACTAGTTCTCCTCATCACAACTACAATAATGTTTGGCCGCGCTGAAAGCCACGACTTACCAGTCGTGTGCCCTCTTCCGACCACAGGCTCCATCTGCACCGCGGGCCCCGAGATCGAGCACGGGCTGCAGGAGCAGGTACTGACGGAGGCCAAAAACAACCCAGGGGTCTGCAAAGTTCACTATTATGGCGACCCAGCGATTCCTCTCTACTCGTTCACGTACTGTCGAGGGGACAATTCCAAGTTCCAGTGCAGCAAGTGTTTGGAGGAAGCCGTTGGGGTCATAGCAAAGAAATGCAACAACAAGCATGGCGCTCAGTACACGAAACCCGCGGGGAGATGTTGTATTCGGTACGAGAACTACCAGTTCTGCCCACTGTCATGATTTCAGCAAATGTTTTTGGATTGTAGATGCATGTTTCATCAACTGGGGTAACTTGGCATAGTTGATTAATTATAAGTACCGTAAGATGAATAATAATACGCCGGCTGCTGGCAGCATGGGTATAATGTTGTTTCTTTGTTTGATTGAAATGGGTATTACGTACAATGTTGGCTCCTGTTCCGCAGGTTTTAATTGGTTTCATCATTTTCCTTATTTCCTCGTTTCCTTTCCTTGTGTAATATCGTTTCGTGGTTTTTTCTTCGATAAATATACGTACACTAGAAAATTGGCCCGCGATCTGCGGCGGGTAGTGATAAATATCCATTTTTGGCCTATCCAAAAAAAAAAAAATGATTCTTGAAGTGGATCTCAAGTTGAAGGTGATTTTGAAAGGATATGCTTCTCCGGTGTTCTTCATCCTCATTTGGGGAAGGAAGTGATAACCTAATGGAGTCATATGGGAGAGGAAGAGATTCGATTTGGTTGGCGTCCAATTTCAATAGTCATATTGGTAATCAAGTCTTCAATTTTCATTTCTTTAACCTACCTCGGCCTAATCGTCGCTCAAAAGAATGCGTGTCCAAAACTAATGAAAAAAGAACTTGGTCATTCCTCAGGAAAATCATCGTAGAAGAAGAAACTTGTGTAGAAACGATGGAATGAGAAAACTACAAGGAAAGCACGACCAAATTAAAGAAAAATTGGCCAATGAATAGAAAAATGGTTGGAGGGAGAAAGAAATGGGTGTAGGAAAAGACGAATTGGGTGGAATGGGTGAGCAAAATAATTAATTATTAACTACTGAAAAAGAAAAAGAATGCACAAAAATTATGGTGCACTCTTATATAGTCTATTAAACCTCTTGGGTTTCACCGTTGATATGGAGATGGGAGTATGGATGGACTCAACTAGGATGACAATGGGTCGGGTTTGGGGCGGATTGTACAAACTCATTTTCAATTATCAAATTCATATTCTTCCCATCTCTATGCGGGGAAGATTTTGCATCCTCAATCCCAGCCCCGTACATTTGATTATGATTATCACTAAATTCACACTTAAATTCAACAAAACATATACTATTGGTTTGAAACATCAATTATAATCAATGATGAACCTAATAAAGAACCACTGAAAATCTTAATTAGATCATCTAATTCCTACGAGGTTCCATAAACAAAGTACCAACAAATAATCCAACACGAAATTATTCATCTCCAAAACACCTACTAAACAGTAAAAATCCACACATAAAAGTCAAGTTATCCTCCAAAGTAGGGTTAGAAACGTGTTAGCCTGTTAAGAAATTATGGTTGGTTTAACTATGTGAAATTAATCTATTAGTCCTTATTTTGTTTTACAATAACCCTTAAATCCTTTTGGTAGATTACATCGTAGTTATATTTTATAATTATAAGACATAAGTAATGACGGGACGGATATGGGTATGGGTATGGGGCGGGGACACTCAAATCCATCCCCGCCCCATCCTTACAAGATTCTCTGTGGGTATTACCCATATCCGTCCCATACCCAGTCAATGCGGTGATTCCCCTTGTTACTTTGCCGACAACGCTGGAAAGCGACTATGCCATCGACGATCACTTTGTCTACCATTGAGTACATGGCGCTAAAAGAAGTTGCCAAGGATGGAATATGGTTGAATGGGCTGGTTAGAGATCGATTCTACATCATGATCAGACAGTGGTGTATTGTGAGTTGTGATAGTTTGAGTGGAATATGCTTGACCAAGGATCAAGTCTATCATGAGAGGACTAAACAAATTGATGTGAGACATCATTTCTCGAGAACAAACTCGTTTATTCACAAACCCGTTTCCACATTGCAAGTCCCAACACTATTTGGACTTGCTAAATGTAATTAGTGGATGAATCCACTCTCAGTTAGTTAATTTTATTCCGACTGTTAGTCAAACTAACATAAATATAGACATATGCACAAGTTAATAACTTTAATGTTACACAATGCTCTATTCTTATTTTAGTAGTATACATCGTCTAATTCCAAAACCTTTGAGACATGGTAGGGTATTTTATCCTGAACTACGGAGAGATGATATTGATTTTGAAATGGCTGGTAAGAGTTGGGGCTATACATAAAGGTTATTTTGTGTGAGTTATTTACTTTATATGCTCATGGGGTAGATGACTTAAAGTTGGGTACATAACCTGTAATTATGCATTTGTAAATAATCAGATATGGTGTTCGATTTTCTGTGAGGCCATATTTGATGATTGAGATCCAAAGTGATTTTTAATCACTTAATAGTTTCTCATAGGTTTGTATCTACTTCATTATAACTCAGATTTTGATAATTTGTTGAGAATAAACAACTTTTATGTAATCTACAAAATAACATTATTTTTTTCCATATATGACGAGAAAGAATTTTATTCAGTCTTTTCAATTTCCCGACTTCCTAGCTGTTGAAACAAGCTAGTCAAAGGCTACTTGAAAAGTAAAGGAAGATTAGGAGCAAACATGGAAAGAAGGCTGAAAATAAGAGAAGAAATCAGATTAAGGAGATTTGGTACAACAGTGCAAATCAAATCAGAAGATTGAGTCTCGAGCAAATCATCACAAATAAGGGAAGGGATTTGAATTACCAACGACTACATTTCAGCCTATAAAAGGTGACCTGAAGAACCAGCATTGGTAACCTTTTCGGAGATCAACAACGCTAGCTAGATAAGAGGGGAATTACCAACGACTACATTTCAGCCTATAAAAGGTGACCTGAAGAACCAGCATTGGTAACCTTTTCGGAGATCAACAACGCTAGCTAGATAAGAGGGGATTTTGTGAGTGTAGTGAGTTTGATAGAAAAGGGGGTTTCTCAAAGGGTTCGGGGAGAACAACTTTGAGGGTTAGTGTTGGGGAAACACTGTTATGAGTTGCTGGGGAAGCAATTCGGGGTTTGGTGAGAGTGAGTTTGATAAATCGGGTTGAAATTGATCAAAGGGTTCTTGGGTAGATATTGTTACGACGAACTTCAACGCAAGATCATTAGTGAATCGTCGGAGATCACACAATTGTGAGTATCCGACCGTGGAGTAATCAGTATTGGTATTCTTATTCTCCCAATACTCGAAACCACGTAAAAATCGTGAGCTGCGTTCTATTCCGCTTTTCAGTTTCAGTTTTCTATGCGCCTCTGTGTGTGTTTTGTTTCAAGTCTGAGTGTGCAAGGAAATTCGATCAAGAGTAGCTGAGGAAGACGAAGTGCCAGAACTGGGTTGGAGAACCTGTTGCGACCTGGTTTGATTTAATTTTCATCATAATTTTCTGGGTTTATACTGCTGTGTTCTTTGAGTTCTTCTTCTATTCTTCACTCAAATAGAAACTGGTCTCTGCTTGATCGAAATCACTCAAGCGGAAAAGGTAGACTTAGTTTGAATTAAAACTCTGTCGTTTTTGTTCTTCACTTAGAAACTTTGTAGGGTCTAGTAACTGATTGAACTGGGCTTTCGGGTTTTACATTCCTTTAACTCAAGCAATCGGGCTTATAAGCCCATTCGGGTAAGACTTAAGTTTTAATAGGTGGGTTTCCAATTAATTGTCTACGTGAGGGTGAAACTTTAATTAATTAGCTTAGCCGTGTTGAAATAAGCAGAAGGCAGTTAGTTGTTTTAGGACATATATTGAGTAATCATTAAATCTGTCCCTCATCTTCATTTGTGCCAAACATTATCATTGAGATTAAATTAATCGTGATCAAGTTATTTGAAAGACAGGTATAAAGTCTCGCTCTGCACGCAACCAACATTTCTCTTCCAAAAAAATTTCCCTTCGTAACGTCCCAAAATTTGTTTTCATCTGCAATTTTAGTGACTTCTTATAGTTTTCATAGACGCGTAAATAACAAGAATTCTTAGACTAGGGGAGTTCCATAGACGTACGACTACTCATGCATGCCCTATTTGATTCTTTTCTGCTGTCACATTTTGTCTGGTTTAGTTTTGTTTCGTAACTAATACAGGATCCTGCAACGGCTACCTTGTATAGTATCATATTCTATAAATAAGTAAATAACACCGATATAGAAAGCCAACTTAAGGAAGAGAAGAGATAGATACAAAATGGAGTCATCATTAATGTTCTTACTAGTTCTGATGATCACAATTACTATGTTTGCCGCAGAAAGCCACAAATTACCAGCTCTGTGCCCGCTGCCGAGCACAGAACCCGTCTGCACTACGGGTACCGAGATCGAGCACTGGCAGCAGCACGAGGTGTTGCTGAAACAAATAAACGACGCAGGCTGCTGCATAGTCAGCTACTATGGCGGCTTTCCCATCTACTCGTACTCGTACTGTCGAGACGACAATCCCAAGGCGGGATGCAAGGTATGTTTGGAGGAAGCTGCTGGGATTGTAGTGCAGAACTGCAACAACACGCACGGAGCTCGATACACGAGGCCCTCGGGGAGTTGCTGTATTAGGTACGAGAACTACCAGTTCTGCTCACCGTGATTTTCAGCAAATTCCATATCAGAGTTATGAATGGATCGATCAATCGATGTTTGAATTCCAGATGTTGAGTTGTGTAACTTGGCAGTAGATCGATAAGTATACTGTTACATCGAAAAAGAATTTGCCGCCGGGCCGCCGGCATGGGTATTGTAATATAATGTTGTTCTTTGTTTGATTGAAATGGGCATATCACTGTGTTTTTGTTGGAATCAAACCTGCTTTTTGGCGGCAGCAGTTCAAATGTAGTTAGAGTCAATAAACTGTGTCGTTTAGCTTTTTACTTCTTTAGTCCTTATTGTTTTGTCTTCAGTCAATCAGGTCTGTTAGCTGAACTAGTCGTTGGAGCTAGCAAAAAACAAGGGTTAGTTGTTAGTCTTGGGAGCTGATTCCCAGGAATCATGGGCTTAAGGTTGTTTGCCCAAGTAGGGTTTAGAGTTAGGTCACACAATTCGTGGGCCCAAGGCCCACGCTCCCGTTTAAGAGCGCCAAAGCGCGAATTCTAGGAAAAACAACTATAATTCGCGAATTACTCCAGAAAAATAGCGAACTTTATTTTTCAAAGGAATTCGTTAATTTTTTAAATCAAAATATTTGAACTCTACAGATCTACATGAAAACTAAACAGAGTGTTGACAATGAAGGTTCAAAGATTTTGCTTTGTACATCACTTATACGAGATATTTCCTTTGCATAAACAAAGTAAATTGTGGGCAAAGTAAAAACTATAAGAAAGAGACAAGGATTTGGTTCTTCATCAAAGAAAGGAATACATGCAGATGCAATGGAGATCTGGAGATGATTGAGAAAGAAAAAAAAATACAAAAATACAATATTCTATTGCTTTTTAGATGAACAAGATTAAGGGTGACACAAGAACTCGGCGGTGTAAAGGATATGGACGACTGGCCGACGAAGTTTCATGTTGCGGCTATTCTTCAAGACTCTGCGAAATTTGGATTCTTACAGGGACTGTAAAATCGATCCAACAGGGGAGAGGCTGAATATATTGATTGAAAGAGGGTCAATGAGGTTGTGATGGGTCTGAACTTTCAAATTTTGCAAATCTATAAGAAAAAGAAGATACAGAGTGCATGAGAAGGTTGGGGGGAAGAAGAAGACTATGAGAGAGAAGTAGAGGCTGCTGGATAAACTTGTGGTAGGTGGGAGGGTATTAAATGTACTTTTTTAGTTTTATTATTTTTTAAAGAAAAGTGTTAAAAAGGGTAAGAGTTAGGATTTAATAGAAAATGCTTTGATGGCTTCATTCTTGTTATTCGGTAACTAACCTTCAGCAAATATATACAATAATGTTTAATGTTTGATTGTATTTAAAACTCCCAATCAAAACTTTAACAAATAAAAAACGCCCAAAAATTTATTATTTATACGTTGTGATAGTTTTGTCAAATGTCTATTAGTATATCTACAATCAATCTATCTATCTATCTTCTATCTACATCTATCTATCTACAAAAACTATTAAGCGCTTTCTCCCGAAAGCCTTCCCCGCAACTTTCGGAATTTTCTTTTCAATTTTTTTTCTTTTGTCGCATTTGCAGTGGCAGTCAATCTTTTTATTTCTTAAATTATCTTATTAGCCTATCTGCGCTCTCTCCCCGGGGAAATAACTCTTTTTTTTACCCGACTTCAAACTCTCTAATAAATCTCACCATTGGCGCGACAGTTCCTTCTCTAATATCGAATCTTTTTCATCCCTAAGATAAAACCAGAAACCAGCAACTCCATCGTCGACGCAACGCATCCTCCCTTCCGCTGCCAAGACTTAGAGCCTTAAACAATCAATCTTGACTCCAGTCAGAGGCTATCCTTTATATATAGTCGTGGATCTCTCTCTCTCTCTGCTCTCAATCAGTTGGTCTACATGTTCTCCTTCTTCCATCTTTTGGGGTTCTGCAGTCGGATAAGATGCTTCGTCACAGACCCGATTCCAAAGCCCAAATAGTAACATACTCTTCAGGCGCGGCAATCCAAGGTCAATTTGCTGTTTCAAAATCACAATAAATACGATGGAAGTGTGATTCACGGATGACAGATACGATTGGTACTTTTTCCATCATGCAGATTGAAAAAATTCATTATTTCTCCAGTAAAAGATCGCACTCTTCTAAAACTAGAAGAAAAGTCAAGAATGATTGGCACATGCATTGATATTCTGTGAGTGACTAAGTTGTTTTTTCTCATTCTATTCGATTGCTTTTGTTCTTTTCATGCCGAATCATTATAGACTTCAAATCAGTTGTTTGTGTCTGATGAATCTTATTGCTTGGCTTTCCAAAAGGTTCTGTGTTTCCCCCTTTTGTTCAGCATTTTGCTTTCTAATTTGCTATTTAATTTTAGGATTGATTCACAGATTAATCAATCATCTCATAATAGTTACCGAAACCAAATGGTGCATTTTTTAGTTTGTAGTTATCATATGAGAATTAAAGACATTCAATTACATTCCTGTAGAAGCAAGAAAGTTAAGAGAGCAATGTTAAATGAAGATATGACTTGCTCCGTACAACAATGCTAACTGATTAACAAACAATTCAACAAATGACCACTATGCATGTATCATATATCATCTTTCAATATTACTTATATATTTGAGAACTTCTTATTCTTCAATTTATAAACTTAGACATAGACAAAGAGCCATAGGCACTTTAATGTTGATAAACTTTAGTAATGGCATTTTAATTCATAACCTTTGTATATCTAATACGGTTGTCATTTAATATAATAATAATATGGTCCTCTATATTGCATGACTACAGAAAGCGAAATCTTGCGATTGGAATTTGGAACCTAAAAAAAACTCCCATAATTTGTAATTCAACAACCAGTAGTCACACAAGAAAGTGGATACAAATTAGATCTGATCACACGCTAACATTGATTATCCTAAAAATAAAGAAGATATGAAATTAAAAATAAAACATGAATATTTAGTCCGGCCAATGCCTGGGCACAAAGCTATTTAATTAAGATAAGATAATATAGACGTTTTTTTTTACGATCTCAAAATATAATTCTCGAAGAATAGACGCTCCCGCTCCACGAATCGGTAAGCTAAGTTTAGAGGCTTCAGTTGCAAGTCCTATATAAATATCCTTTATCAATCAATAAAGTGTTAGATTGCAATACAACGAGCTTTCATATTGGTATCAGAACTCTTGCGCGAACTATAACCAAGAAAGCTGTGAGAGATTGAGAGAAATTATTTTTCATTAAAGCAAAAGGGTTGGGAAACACGAGAGTATCTTGTGAGGTCAAAAGGTTTAAAGGGTGAGAGAAGCATTGATCTATGATTTCTTATCATGGGACAAAATAGTAGCTCTGGACAGGTGTGCATTCTCAATTTCGATGGGGATTTCGACCATTGGAGTCTGCTGATAGAGAATCTTCTCTGATCCAAGGAGTACTACTACTGAGGAGTGGTGAAGGATGGATTCAAGGAACCAGAAGAAGGGGAGGAGCTGATAGAAGCACAATACAAGAGGCTTGTTGAACTCAGGAACAAGGATCCGAAGGCCAATAATTACTTGTTAAGTTCCATCGACAAGATAATCCTGAAGACAATCACCAAGAAAGGAACAATCAAAGAGCTGTGAGATTCAATGCAAGTGAAGTACCAAGGGAGTGCAAGAGTGCAAAAGGTTCAATTGTAAGCATTAAGGATGAATTTCGAGCTTCTGGAAATGAATGGAGGTGAGAACATTACTGATTGTTTTATTCGAGTTATGGTTATAGCTAACACTATGAGGAATTGTGGTGAAGTGTTGACTTATGTTCGTATTGTTAAGAAGATTCTCATAACACCAACTGAGAAATTTAATTTCATGGTATGGTCAATTGAGGAATCTAAGGATATAGATTTATTAACTGTTGATGCTCTCGAAAGTTCCTTAATTGCGCATGAGTATGTAGGAAGGGGTAGTTGTGGATATGGAGGAAGAGGCTATCCTAGCAGGGGCAGGGGTGTTCATGATGATCTTCATTTTGTGTGTGTGTGTGTGTTTCTGATTGTTTTTTTATTGTGTGTGCTTCGAGTAGTGGTGGCTGAGATCATATTTATACACTTACGGCAAAGCCCTAGACCAGCCTGGTTACGGTTGTGGACAGAAGAGATGAGTATTATTTTTTTTTTGTGTTTGGGTTTTTGTGGAGATTTTCACAGTGATTTTGGTTGGGAATCCATTAATGAATACTGGTTGCAAAAGCGACGCGCACAAGTGACATGAATCGTTTGGGCGTTTAGGATTTTTGCCGGCAGAGAGAAGCCTACACTTTCTAACAAACCCCTCTATGGTACAACTCAAAACAATACATATAATTTATGGTACAATTTTAAGTTGTACCTACACTTTCTAACAAATCATTCTATGGTACAACCCAAACTTGTACCTATACCATGGTACAACTTTAAGTTATACCTACACTTTTCCAAAAATCCCTCTATGGTATAATTCAAAATTATACCTATATTTTATCATACAACCTTAAGTTGTAACTACACTTTCTAACAAATCCTTCTATGGTATAACCAAACTTCTACCTATACGTTATGGTACAAGTGTAAGTTGTACCTACACTTTCTTGAGTTGTACCTATACACTATGTACAATTTTAAGTTGTACCTACACTTTGTGAAACAAATTCTTCAATGGTACAACTCAAACTTGTACCTACACGTGTGGTACAACTCAAACTTGTATCTAAACGTGTGGTACAACGGTAATTTGTACCTACACTTTCATAGATTAATTCATTATTTACAATATTGGCATTAATGATGTGAGACCGGTCATTTAGTGGGATTTTTTTTGGTCAAAAGATATCATGTATTGATCAAAAAATAGACAGTTACACCCTGGAAACCAGCCAGGTCTGGAAATCAAAGAAGCGACTCATAGTCGGATACAAAGAGAGGGCTTTCCTAGCTACCAAATGAGCTACCCTATTGTTCTCCCGACCTACAAAACGCACACTAAAGCCAGGCTGGGTACGAACATAGTGACCAATCTCTTCCGGAACAGCACCCAACCGGTTATCTCTTTTGTCGGCTTGATTAATTTTGTCAATAATCACCTTCGCATCGCCCTCAAAGCGAACCTCTGACAAACCTTGCTCCACACACCGAATAATAGCTTCCCTGAGCACAAGCA